CGGGGTGTTCAGGGTCTTACTACATAGATCCGACTCGTAGTGATCCTCTTGTTTACAGCCTTCCAAGTGCTGGGATTACAGGTGCTCGCCACCCGCCCAGTGCAGTCTCTGTCTCAACACACCCCGGCGGTGGGGCCGGGACCACACGCCAGGGATCGAACCTCACCTCGGTCGCTGCACTCTGCCTAAGCAGGCGCTTTAGTCTGCTGAGCTATCAGGCGAGCCCTGAGTTTAAATATTGTGATGGAGATTCAGAAATAAAGTCAGAAGTTTGACAGTAAAGAGAAGTGAGCTATCATGCCACTGAAAGACTGGGAGAAACTTAAGTACTTGTATATATTTAAATGAAAAAAGCCGGCATAAGAAGGCCACACGTACTGTACTGTTTGCTCTGAGGACAGGAAGAGGATCCGTCTTTGCAGAGTAAGGGAGGAGGGAGACTAAGTGCAGCACAGCGGGTTTCACAGCAGCGAAACTGCCCTGGATGGCGCTGTACCGGGGCCTCACGCCCGTGCATTCGCCAGAATCCACCAGTGCGCGGCACAGGAAGGGACCTCGTGGGCAGCTGGCGTCTGCGAGGTCAGGGTGCCTCAGCACTGGCTCCCCCACTCTAACAGGTGTGCCAAACTCATGCACCTCTTCAACACCAGGGGAAGATGGGTGGGAGGAGGTGGGGAAGCGAGGAAGGGGTAGAGGCGAGCTCTGCTTGTCACCCAGTTTTTCTTTTTTTAATTAATTTATTTATTTGGTACAGTGTCTCCCTATGCAGCTCAGACTCAGTCATATCCCTGTCTCAGTCTCCCTAGCGCTGAGATTATAGGCATGCGCCACCATGCCTGGCTTCAGGGTCAGCACAGGGGGGAATAAACCCGGGTCCTTGCGCTTGCCAGCAGGCACTTAGACCACTGAGCTATCTCCCCAACCCCAATTTTTCTATAAATCCAGAGATACACTAAAAAAGTCTCTAAAACATGTTCGTAATTTGAAATAATTAGTACGTTGCTATTATCACAGGCTAAGTTGGCAGTTGCGTGGCCTACAAACAGCAATTACCCTGGGTTCCTTTCACTGTATTATATTCAGAATGCACATGGCTGTGGGACTGCTCACAGCCTGAGATTCATGCTAAAGTTTCTTTAGCAGATTGTTTTCAGTTATAAGTTTAGCTGCTGTTATTGTTTTTGAAAATATGATTCGTCCCTTAGCAGCTTTCAACTTAGTAAAATGAATGTGTGATCCCTCAGCTTTGCTAACTGTTGCGGCATCCATTTGCCAGATACCACAATAACATTCAGGAGGATCCTCATTGGTTGTTAAAAGTTGGGATGACCCTAAACTCTCTCAGTCCATCAGATAGTGCGGGGAATTATGTTCATTGCTAGTCAGTCACATCCAGCTAATATCATGGTGGAAATACATTTATGGCAATAAACAGGAACAGTCCCATATTTTATCTT